TCACAGTGAGGTCACCCCAAAGCTTCTCCTCTCCAGGCTGAACAATCCCAGCTGTCCCAGCCTTCCCTCCCAGCAGAGCTGCTCCATCCCTCTGCCCATCCTGGAGCCTCCTCTGGGCTCTGTGCAGCAGCTCCAGCTCCTCCCTGTGCTGGGCCCAGGGCTGGGGCAGCTCTGCAGGTGGGGGCTCACCTGAGCACAGGGGCAGAATCCCCTCCCTTAACCCCCATTCTCAGAGGGAATTCTCCCCTTTCTCTTGCCTTCTTTAAAGGACAGGAAGAAATGTTTTAGTGAGAATGGCCTGGATCCACCTCCCAAACCACCCCCAAACCACAGAAACTCCTTCCCCAGCTGGGTCACGGTGCTGGGCATTGACAGCACACCCAGGGCCATCCCCTGGGCTTGAATGCCCTTTTAATGAAGAGGTTTTTATTTGTGTCCAGTGTCTCTCTGAACTGTCTCCTCCTGTGGGAATACCCAGCRCTCCAGGAGCAGAAAACCTGTCCCTTCCTCTGCTCTGCTCACACAGCACCATTACTCAACCACTTACAGTATTTACAAGTCCAGCTCATGGCAATTAAAGAAGGATGTATTAAAATAAACTCCTCTTTCCAACCTGGAAAAGGATATTAGACACTGCTTTCTGTAAACACTGTCATGTTTTCTGAGCAGGAACTGTTCCTCTGCCAGGGGCCAGGGTTTGTTTTCCAGGGAAATAAGAGTTGCCACCAACAGTATTTTTTCCTCCCATGCTCAGCTGAAACTGTTTTGTTATTTGAAGAGAGCCTGAGCTCCTCCCTGCACGGGCCCCAGCAGGTCCTGGCAGGGAAGGCAGCAGCTCTGGGTGCCCCTTCTGGGATGCCCCAGGATGAGGTGGGGACAAACCTTTGGCTGAGCACGGACAAGGTGCAGGGGCTGCATCCTGTGAGGAGAATTGCTGATTGATCACCTCAGCCAAGCCCTCAGCCTCAGCCAGCAGCACAAACTGATCCATCCAACATCATCCATGGAATCACAGAATCCCAGAACAGCTGGGAGGACCTTAAAGCCCATCYCATCCCACCCCTGCCATGGCAGGGACACCTCCCACTGTCCCAGGTCACTCCCAGCCCCAATGTCCAGCCTGGCCTTGGGCACTGCCAGGGATCCAGGGGCAGCCACAGCTGCTCTGGGCACCCTGTGCCAGGGCCTGCCCACCCTCCCAGGGAACAATTCCTGCCCAATATCCCACCCATCCCTGCCCTCTGGCACTGGGAACCATTCCCTGGGTCCTGTCCCTCCATCCCTTGTCCCCAGTCCCTCTCCAGCTCTCCTGGAGCCCCTTCAGGGCCTGCAAGGGGCTCTGAGCTCTCCCTGGAGCCCTCTCTTCTCCAGGCTGAACAGCTTTCTCATCCTTTCAGTCTCATATTTTTTACACCTTAATAGACATTTTGGAGTTTTCAACAGCGCCAGAAGCAAATAATTTGCCTAAATAGGAAAGAAGTAAGATCTGATAAAGCTGCCACATTCCGATTCTCTGTTATGGTTTGCACTGGAGGGAGAGGTTTTAGAGGGTGCAAATCCTTCACAGAGTTTCAGCATAACRGAGTTTATGGACTCCAGCAATTAAGAGACAACCGAGATCAGCGGCTTGGAAAATACTCCAGAGGTGTGAATTAGTAATGATCCAGAGTGCAGTTAATGGGGTGTAATTATTCTTTGACAAGTCCCAAGAAAAACTGCACAYAAACCCCAAATTATTCCCCAGCAGGAAGAGGGGAAGGTGAGTRACTAATAAAGGGCTGCTAATGGGCAGGGCACGGTCAGGGTGGCGAGACAGGGACARCACAACCAAATAAACCTCATTTCACTCCTGGGAAAAGACTGGCACGGAAAACCTGGAGCCGAAATGACTGGTGAAGGCCTGTCCCTGTCCCAGGTGAGCTGGGAGCCACAGAGCCCATGGGGTCCAACCTCAGGACACAGCCAGGGACCCAGGGACACGGGACTGCCCACAGCACACAGCCCAAAGCACCTCTGGCAGGACACAGCCCAGATGCTGCACACATGCCCCTGCACAACACAACAGCAGAGCAGCAGGATCTGAAGGTTCAGATTTAGGTGTTTCACCAAAAAAGCCACAGATGGGATCTGACAGCAATTCTGCATTCTGGGTTCCATGCCTGCTTTGCCTTTTTTTTTGTTCAAATGCTGTGAAATACAAATATTCGCCTTGACAAAAAACCCTCAAAGAGGATTCAGGAATCAAAGCCATTCTGAAWGTCAACAGGAGTCAGAAGAGAACAAAGGAATGATTCCCGTGCAAAGGAAAACAGTGCCAGGAATACAAATCACAGCTGTATCTCTCAGGGAAAGGTGGGGAGCACAAACCCACGWGCAGTTACAGAGCAAATAATCGAGGCAGAATGGAGCAAATGCCACACTCCTGAAGCTCCCTGTGCTGAGGGCTCTGGGACAGCTCCAGCTGCTGCTCCAGGGCACAGGGAGCACATTCCCAGCTCACCCCAGTTCCAGGGCACGTTCATGGCAGGGTGGGGATGTCCCCAGCACTCCTGGGAGCACTGGCACTCTCACTGCTCTGCCAGGGGCTGCTGTTACTGCTGAGCTCAGCCTCACTCCCCAGGCCCTGCCTCAGGGGGTTTCAATACTCCAATCCTCACCAAACCTTCTCCAAATAAAGTTAAGATCGYGTTTTTCAGATAAAAGATGGAAAGAAAAGGTTGAAATGTAATTTAGGTTAAGATTGCTCTTTGGTCTGCCTCACYTGCTCTGTCCAGCCCTGAGGTCTCACCACACCCCCACTTCCCGGGGTCACCTGGGGCAGCCCAAGTTCCCAGGATTTGYCAGCTCTGAGGGTGTCTGGTTTGGGGCTCCTCCTGGACACCCTCCCACTGTGCCTGATTCACTCCCACAGCACCAAACTTCCAGCCTGGGTTCTCACAGAAAGGCAGAGGAATCCTTGAGATCCCAATGTCCCTGTAGGGGACCCAGGAGAGGAACCTGCATTCCCAGCTCAGTGCCCAGGGGTTGGTATCATCTCAGGACAGCTGAGGACYCTGGTTCCCCTGTGCCCTCCCACCTCTGGGTGAGGCTGTGGATTCCCAGGGTGCAGGTTCTCCCCTCTTGAATAAGTGTCAGAAGATTTYTGATTTGCCTCTATCAGATACTGATTCACCATTAAAGTCATCCCATGGCCATGGGGAACCCAGGTGTTACAGCCAGGGCTCTGCCAGGTGCCCGACACCCCAACACCACCCTGGGCAGCCCCTGCCCCTTCCTTCTCCCCTGGCATCCCCCAGATCCTGGGTTTTAATCATCCCCCAGATCCCAGGTTTTTAATCATCCCCCAGATCCCAGTTTTTTTAATCATTTTTACAAACAGACACTAGCAAGGAACATTCCAGGATTTGAGGGCCCCCTTTTTAAACACCACCAGTGTCAGCAAAGCCTCAGCCCTCCTCCTTCAGCCCCCCAGCACTCCTGGCAGCAGCAGAACCTGCTGTGCTCCCTCAGCATCCCATCCCATCCCATCCCAAGCCATCCCCAACCCGTTCCACAGCCCAGAATCCTGGAGCAGTGCCAAGCCCACCCCAGTGCTCCCAGCTCCAGCAGGGATGTGAGGGGAGCAGGGAGGTGCACCCAGGGCCTTGCAGGACCTGTTGAAGGTCTGTCCCTGTGCCGTGGAGCCACCTTCCAGCTGAACAC